TCGTTTTATTTTATGTTTGATTTAACTTATTTCTCTGATTTATTATTTTACATTCCAATACATTCCATTCTAATGAAAATGCTATGAAGAATTCATATCACCGTCTTTTGAACAGGACCACAATTTTCAAATCAAAGTTTGTTTTTTAGAAGCTGCCACATATTGACTGGAAGTAATGTTCATTTTTTAGCAAAAGAGAGGTAGAGAGAAAGAGAGAGTGAAAGTTTTTTTTTGTTTTATTTTTATTCATTTTTTATTTTTTGGAAAAGTGTTCATTAAGACAGGAGGTGAGGTTAACATAGCGGAAGTTAGAAAAATTGCCCCGTATACTTAATAATACAAGTATAGGTCTATGGCGTTATTTTTTTTTTATTTTTTTCAGCTTGCTGTTCTTTTTGGGCGTAAGTAGGCCCGATCGTGTAATACCTTAGGGTTTGAACTGTTACTAGTGTTTGGCACATTTAGAGTATAATTAAAATTATTTCGTCTCCGTTCTCTCTGGTTCAGAAGTGAAAGGATGGTAATCATGTATCTGGGATCATTCCAAAGGATATACATTGGCTTGCAAAATCTTTGGGTCACCTCGATAAATTAATTAATTACTTTTGTTAATTTTACCCCAAATTTGAGAGTTATAACAAATACCCTTTTCTCAGTACATATTATCACTTTGAACCCTAACCACCACTTTACCGGTGGTAGAAAAAAATGACGTAATGCCCAGCCACCGGTTGAACAGTAGTAGAGAAAACTGACTTAATGCTCAGCCACCGATTGAACGGTGGGTAAACACTTGTAACTATTTTTATATCTATCGTGAAATATTACATACCAATTATTTGCGAATTTTGACTCAGGAGCTCAGGCAGAAGGGTTCAAATTGTTCAGGAACGCAGGGGTCAAAGGGTTAAGATCTTTGAGGACCAGAAAACAAGCTGTATGACGGATGATAGAGCATCTTAAGCTTATTAATGCTTCAAAAAAGGCCATACAAAAATACTGGACCATCAGAGAAAATTTCACGCTTCAAATCTTTTATTAAGTTAAAAGGATTTATTGCAAAAAAGTGATCTTTATTATTACATAAAGTACAAAACATCAAAATATGGTATTAGTAATCAGTGTTACCGCCTTTGGCTCGAATAAGTGCCTCAGTTTGACGTGGCATTGAATGGAACAAAGTCCAGATTTTCTCATTGGAATTTTTGCCCATTCTTCTTGGCTGTAATCCAAAAGCTCATGGAGATTTAAGGGTTTTCGTTGGAACACTTTCCCATCACAATGGTTCAATTATATTGAGTTCAGAAATTTGTGCTGGGCAGTCTTCCAAAAGTTGAACATCTTCATCCACAAAAAAAAAACTTTGTTGTACGTGATGCATGCCAAGTAGCATCCTTATGCTGATTGATTTCTCTGTATTCGTAGTTTAGCGGAAGATTAAACTGTAGTAAACTAATATAGTTTTCGTTGTTTAGATTTCTACTTCCATCATCATACATTGATACAATCACCTCCATTACGTGTCAATCACCAAATTTTACCGTCTTTATAGTGTATCTTGCATTGCTTCTTTCTACCACTGGTCTTCTTACATATTTTTTTGCATTAAACTGTAACTTTATTTTGCATTAATCACTCAAATTTACTTTGTGCCACTTTGCAGTTTCCCATGTTAAATATTCCTTTGACCACTTTAATTTTGTATTCCGATGTGTTTTAGTTACAGATGTTTTTCTTTTGCTGCCATATGCCCATTCAAGCTGGGTTTTTTTTCGCAATACTCTGCGCACTGTATTATCTGAAACTTACCTGTTGAGACTTCGTTCACTCCTCACTTGTCTGTTAATTTTGGATTTTCTACTGAGACTATCACAATCTTTCTTTCATCTTTCTTGTCTAACTTTTGTGGACTTCCGGTTTTCTTTGCACTTATAACTCTTCCAGTAGTAGCAAACATCTTTTGGGTTATTTGAACACTGTTTATGGAAATTCCCAGTCGCCTGACTATGTTTTGTTTAGTCATCTTTCCCTTCATCTTTGTTTCAGTAGAAATTTTAGCCATGAATTTAGCGTAAAAAAGCAAGCTAATGTTCAACTTCAATCACTTACTAAGGCAACTTATATTCATGCTACTAAGATGGAATAATTCCTACTAAGAAATTTGTATAATATCATGACTTTATCATATCAGATCTATCATTGGACTAATAGTTTTGCATGGCATTTTTTAGTTTAAAGCTTCTTAAAGCTGTGTATCCTCTGTTACATGACACCTACGAAAATGCAACAACTTATTTTCTAATCATCGGGATCCACAGACACTAATGCTGGGGTGGTTGTAGTCTCCTTTATGTCTTGAACATTGGTACTTTGTGGTGAGCCCAGATACAAAAAATATAATAAAATATCAAAATAAAATATATAAGCAAAAAAAAAAAAAAAAAAAAAAGAATTCAAATTAAGATAAGGCATTTCTTTCCTTTAAAACCCATATCTTTTTTTCTTTTTCTCTTTCTTTTTACTCTTCTCTCTACATACTTTTCTTCCAACTAATGAGAAGATAATAATAATACAGAACTTATACTGGGAACAGTCGTCCTGCATACAAATAGAAAATGAATTTAGTAAATATACAAAAATAGAACGAGGCGTAAGACAAGGATGTGTCGTCTCACCGGACTTATTCAACCTTTACAGTGAGACAATCATAAGAGAATTAGTATTCCTATTAGGATTCATTATTTCTTTCACAACCTTGACAATATAAGATATGCAAATGACACAGTGTTGATAGCAGGCCGCGTTGGAATAGAGAAAGATGCCTTTCAAACGTTAAGCAAAGTATTAAGGAAAAGGAGAATGTCGTTAAAAACAAAGAAAAAGAGTACTGAATAATCTAATAAGGTTCTCCTATATGGTAGTGAATGCTGGACAGTCTCCTCGCAGATGAAGAATAGACTTGAGGCAACAGAAATTTAATTCTACAGAAGGATGCTGAGAATAACATGGACTAAATATATAAGCAATGAAAAAGTTTTATAGAAAATGGAAACAAAAAGGACCCTTATTATCAGAAAAAGACAGTTGAAATTTCTCGGACACATAATGAGGAAAGTAGGCTTAGAAAATTTAACACTCACAGAACTTTTAAAGGCAAAATGGCCAGAGGAAAGCAGCGAATAACCTATCCAATGAGCTTGTATAAATGCTTGGTAGAACAGGGATTAGAAGAGACAGAAAACGTTAACCATTGCTAAGAGTTACAAATGACAGGAAATTGTGGAGCCTTGATTGTCCACATCCTGAATGGATACGATACATAGACGAAGAATATTAAAATGTAGAAAAATAATCCAAGTAACCAGTAGTGAAAAGAAAGCCCAGAAAAACAAATAAAGATTTTGTAATGATCTCTTCATATTTTGGTAGGTATAGCAATATATAATCTTTTATGGCAGCAGTTGAAATATTAAAGTTATTGTTATTAAAAAGAACAAAGTAATTTTTATTAAAAGATCAAATTCTTATTTTTTAAAAATATTTCATGTTTAAACAAAGGACTGCAGTTTTTATTCATTTTTTTTTTTTAATGTCATTCTCTAAATGGTGGCTTCTATTCGCCATACACTTAGACGATTTCTAAATCCTGGATATTTTCTGGAATTCGAAAGCTGCGTAACGACCGGTGGCCCGTCGGGCTGCAACTGTTGGTGTTGTTCTAGGAGACCCGCTTTTAAGCGGGTCTGGTAGTCCCTAGGGTCATCTCTTCAGCGGGAACGTTTGCGGTTGGTCACTCCCGGAGGTCGCTTTGTTGACGGACGTGATGCGTGGAGCCTAATGCGCAGAAAACGACTTGTTATTTCGTTCTCTGCCTTTGTGGCGTTCACACGCGGCCAGCATGCAGAATGAATCAGAAATAGATCTAAGTGCGACGGAATATAGCAGTTTGTTCACACAGCGAACCAAATAAAAAGTAGATTTCTAAAATAGAAGTGAATTAAGGTCCTACTTGATAGTTGACTTGGTTGTACATAGCATCAGAAATGTCATGAACAGCAAGAAAAATTGAGGTCTAGAATGAGCATGCAGTTGTTCCCATGAATTGGTACCAACTAGTAAGTCTACTTACATTTTGGGCCTCCAGCAAAATTGTTACATGACATATTTCTTAACCTTTGACATGTGAATAAATCATAGCCGAGTCAAGGGAAGATAATTAATTTCTACAATTCTGCACTTGTGGCTTCGTGCCAAACCTAAGTTAAGTTATTATTTCCCCTTTTATTATTTAAGTCTCAATTTACTTAAACTAAGAAACAATTAAAAGTAATATAATTGCCATAAAACAATTCCTCTTTTTAAAAGATTTAAATTTCCTACAATTGAATAGAATAGACATTGTTTTTTTGCAGTAAGTATAATTGATGTATCAGGGGCATGAGTGTGTGGCAGCATATTTTTTCTTCATAGAAAACACATTTGCTCACATACAATGTCAGATAAAAAAAAGTTTTAAGTTTCTCAGTACACTTCACCACATATTCACTTTACAACAATGTGGTTTTCCTGAAAAATTGCTTTAAGAGAAACATTTTATAAATTTCTGCTTGGTCAATAAATGCCGAATGTTTCCCTGTGAGGGAACATAATTGCTAATATTCGAAATTAATTGTTAGTAATGAAGGAATATTATTTCGATTTCCTAAACAAACAAAATAATAACCTGCATTCGTACTTATGATTGCTATTGCAATATTTTACTAAATTTGTAAATTCCACAGGAATTTTATAGTCACTATAACTATTTCCATGGAAACTCACAAACCAATCATTATCTTAAGAATTATGATTAAAATAGCAAAACCGTGAAATTTTCACTGGTATTTTCAGTTACATTTATTAATGGTTAAGGAAAGGTAATAAAGTCAGTTAAACTACTAGAGTTATCTTCCTTGATAATTGTGTCATCGCAGTAGCTGCTGGCTTTAGTTAGGTACAAAATGGCTGACGTTCCTGACAGCGGCTCTTCTGAAAATCTAACAGAGTCCGCTTCCACTTCTACAGATTCCGAAAATGATGACCCTTCTCCACCGCCTCCTGCGCCACCAAAGAAAGTAAGAATTTTTATTTTATTAATTATTGGTAAAGATTATATTTGGCTTCTGTTCGCCATATTCTGCATGTTAATGTTATTGCAGGCATCATTCATTTCACATTTTTTTTGTATGTGCTATTTATTTTTTTTTATATTCGATTGGATTATAATCAATAGTTTTCTCTACCGCTTGTGTTTTGTTTTTATTTACTAATCTCACAGTTTCACTTATATCAATTCACCTTCATTAATGCCTTTCGTTTTAAATGATAATAATTAACATGTGAAATTGTAATAGTTATTTTTCAACAATTGCATTCGCCGAAAATTGCCTTTCTTCTCAACTTTCATTGTTTTTCTTTCAGTTCTTTGTTTTCATTTATTTTTTATTGGCACTTAAACAATTTTAGATTGAATAAATTAATAGAGTCCTTCAGCTATTGATTATATTGCTTGATGTTTAAGAAATCATTGATCAATGCATTTATTTTAATTTTGTAGTTAGTATTGTCATTCATTAATGTTTTTTTCGTTTCATTCTTTAATCTTTCGTCGTGTTTTTTTTGTCTATAATTCAGCATTCTAGTTAAATAAACTTCCTCATTTTTTATTAGCATTTTTCTAATTATGACTTTGATTCTTTTTAATTTGCAAAATAATATTGATTGGGTGAGATACGTTTTTAATTAAACATTTGAAATATAATTATATTTATTAAGAGGAGGCGTGGTTGTACTTTTAACTTTTGTTTTGAAAAAAAAAATAAACAAAAAAAAGTTTTTAGTTTACCTTTCAAATTAGTAAATTTCATTATTCAGTTTAAAAATACTGGTTAAATTAAGTCACTTTTCATTTGAAAACTTTAACTTTAACTATCCTCCACCCACAAATTTGAGTTGTTTTTTTTTTTTTAATATTGAATAAGCTATGATCAACATTCAACACTGAATCCAATGAAATTTAGTCTCCGAATGAAAATCTTTTCGTTAAGAGAAAATATTTTCATTTTCTTTATCCTTGTATCCAGCTCCGTGTTACTGTTAGTGTTATTGGTAAAAATCTTTTTAATTTTTAAGAAACCCATAACTTAAAATAGAGTTAATCATTTTTTTCCTCTTTTTAAATTAAAAATGGATGGAAAAAAAGTGTTTTGGGGCAAGATTTTTAGACTTTAGTTTAAACTTTAAAGTCTAAAAAAAGCATTTGAATTCAAGAGCGAATTCTAATTATTAATCTTTTTTTGGTGTGCGTGTGTGAATCCATTTTTAAGCATCCTTTAAATTTAAAGGCAATGATTTCATTTTTAAAAAATAAGTCTGTTATGCCCGCATTTACTTTATTTTCCTGGATATTTTCTTTTACATTTTTAACTAAGAATGAAAGTGAAAGAAAAAGCGTGCGTGTAACCATAAAAAAGACGTGCATTATTTATTTTTTTTTTATTTTTTTTTTTTTTAATTATGAACAGAATATTAACTTTTTTCAAAGTGTACATAATGTTTTTGTATTCTTTTAGACTCACTTACTACAATGGATGGAAATTACAGTCTCAGAACCAGAAAAACGAACAACACCCTCCATGAAAATGCAAGATACATACATTGTGTACCTTATAGAAACGAGGTTAGATTTTGTTTTTGTTTCTTTTGGTTTTTGATTTAAAACAATAATATTTAGTTTGTTGAATATATTATTTACCTGAATTTACTATTAATTACATTTCTGACGAAGTAGGAACCGACAAAATCCGAGCTAAAAAAATCTTTAAAACAATTTATCCCCCTTCCAGTAAAATTTTAGTTGTTTTAATTTAATAGCAGCTAATAAAAAAATAAATAATTTAAAAAAATTTAAAACTGTTTAAAAAAATCTTGTCAAAAAAAAAAAAATATTTATTATTACTTTAAAAAAAAATAGTAAAAGAAGACTAACAGAATTTTGCAAAGATAGTGTACGCTTAAAATAAAATATAGCGAAAAAAACACCTTAAAAGTTTAAAACACAGCAAGGAATATTCCAATTGTCAACAAGTATATAAAAAAAATAGAAGTTCTCTCACAACCTCCAATTAAAAAAAAAGAGAAAAATCTGCCTCAGATAAATACGAAAGCTCGAAACTGCCAAAATACAGAAACTTGTTCGTTTATGTTTTAAAAATAAAATAATTATTTTTTATTTTCAGTAACCAATAAGAACATGTTCTTTATACAATTATTATTTCTTTATGAAAACTTAGAATAATTTTAGGTACCTCCTAGATAAAAAAAAAAAATGAAAAGTCTGTCTTGAGGCAAAAGCCTAGTTTTAATTCCAAGCTGATAAATAAATTTAATATTTCCAATAAGCAAAATACTTTGCTGTATTTCAAACCGAATTTAAATTGAATGCCATGATTTTTTTTCTGATTATCAGTAAAATGGATAAAAAAATCGTCCATGTTGACAAATCTGTCAACACAATATAATTCTCTTATTTTTTTTTAAAGATATTTTAATGAAGAATATACTTTTCTGAAACATTATTTGAGAAAAATTAACTGATTTAATATTCAATTGATCTAAGTTTAAACAAATATTACTTTTAGCGTAAAAAATCGTTTAAAGATATTTTTTAACAGTGCCATGGGTGTTTTCTTTTGTTTTTTTGGTTTTTTCATGTTGAATTATGTATTGGCAACCTGATGTTTGGAAATTTTAAGGAAGAAATAATGGAAATAAAATTTTGTGACAAATACGATGTAAACACTTTTTTATAAAATTTTTTAACTACCAAGTAATCTTAAGAATTAAAAATATTTTAAGCATTTCAATATTTTATTAAATTTTAATTACTTTTGCTTTATAGTCTTATTTACAAAGATGCTTGTTAAAAAAAAAATGTTAGGAAATTGCCAATAAATTTACTATAGTTATCGCTCTTATTTTCTGATAATGTTGTGTATGGACGTCCATATTTATAAAAATTGACATAATGCACACATAAAATAAATTATTTACATTCAGACTATTATCCTCATCTTTGTTGTTATTATCTCAATATTTCATCCGTTATGCCCCCTTTCCTTCATCAGATGTATATCGATCCAGGTAACCTATAAGGAATTACAAACTGAATACTTTATTTAATCTATGGGGATAGACTCTTCTCATTTCACTGCCTATGTCTAGTTCTTATTTTTAGTACTGCTCAGTTATTGCTTTCCCTCTTTTCACTGAATCCATACCCAGGGATTGAACTCACAATTACTATGTCACTAAATTCACAAACCCATAATTTAATCCACTAAGCTATTGTTACAGGACAATTTTAAGTTTATGAATTATTCTAATAAAAATTTTAAAATGAAAACAATTCATTATTCCTAAAAAAAAAAAAAACTTTTTTCTTAAGACAGTAGTGTCCATAATGTTTTATTCATAAAAGCAATTAAAGGTTTTTCTAATTAAATAATGTCTTAGATTTATTGCATTTTTTTATTTTACAATTAAGAACAGATTTTTTTGTAACTGGTGGTTCTGTTTGACTAAAATAACTTGATGATATAAATTCTCCAAGGACTTTTAATTAATATAAACATTAAGCAAAACAAAAAAGAATTTCTTGAAATTTCATAAAATTAAATGAGTGAGTTCTACCAGATTTAAAATTTAAAAAAAAACAACAAAATAAAAAAAATATCTTTACAGACATTTCCATTCAATTCTTTCGTTTTTATATTTGGCATTTATTTTGTATTTATTTATTTTTAACTATTTCATGTCATAAAGTATTTAGCTGCAGAAAATTTTTTTTTTTTTTTTTTTTTTTTTTTTTTTTTTTGAACCACTTGTCTAATACCCTTGCCATCCTGTTTGCCAAATTCTGACTCCACAACCAACACCACATATGTAGCCATCCTGGGTATAACGATAAACTACATCCGGAAACATGGCCTCTGGTTAAGAGGTTTTGAGGAACATGGAACCACCTCTTAATTCCTGTTGTTCCAAAGTCCACCCTGATCCAGGGTGCCAGTTATAGGCAAATAGTTAACCCCCAAAATAAAAGTATAAAAATTTTTATAGTGAAAAAAAAAATATCAATAATACAATACATTTTGTTTAAAAAAAAAAAAAAAAAAATTACCAGCAATACATTTTTTCATTAAATGACCCATAATGAGTTGATATGCTGCTAAACAAACAAATGAACCACATCATAAACAATTTGTACCCCCTGGACAAGATCTTTAACTATGCTCAGCTTCTGCTTTAAAGCAGAATCTTGCACAAAGAGCCTGTTTTGACATTTAACACCCTGGCTAACCATTGGAAGACCAGATTCATCCGTCTCAGTGCAGCATCCACCTCAGCCAGATTGATATGATGGGCATCATTTGTTGGTCAAACCCAACAGGCATCTTCAGAGATGGTTCTGTTTCTTTCCAGTACCACTCTTATTGTGAGGGAACTCATGAAGGATAACACTGAATTCACGATTGTCCTTCTCCTAGACTGGTTGCCAACCAAATATAAGTCTCCCATTATTAAACCCCTGGTTCATACTAATCCAAGGGCATTCCAGTGAATGGAACAGCCTCACCACACTAGCTGTTGCTGCTGTAGTTTCTAGAGCAGGAGGTATTATGTTTTTTCCCTTTCTGGAGTGGAGTCATTAGCCCCATGATCAACTGGGTTTGAATTCAGTGTTGTCCTTCCCCTCTATTGATTGCCAAACGAAACTAGGTAGCCCAGTCTTTCTGTTATTAAACACTGGAAGGAGGAAGAAAAAAGTTGCATACTGCTTCAAGGTATTAAAGTGAACAAAGTTGCTTTGGCTTGAATTCAAACAACACTATTTAGTTCTACCAGTTTTAACTTTCACTGCTAGGGCCTGCCATCAGTGCCTGATATACCATTGTGCTTAGGTGTGTTTAAGCACAAGTCTCCTTGGCCAGAGGGGCCTCAATCTTCCTTCCATGCCTGTGTAGGTATGCTGGGCCTACCTTATTCGCGGCCGAAGAAAGGGTCCTCATAACTAGCACAGGACCTTATTTCTCCTAAATCCAGCGTTGCTTGCCATGCTACACAAATTTCTAGTGAACCACCCTCATTCCTTCTGTATTCAATTGGTGAGAAGTAAGTTCCACTTTAACAGCTTCTTCTTGCAAACCACTGCTTTTGTCCAAGATGTTTTCCTGACCACTACAATCTTAACTTATTTAAGTCTAGGATTAACCATTATATTCCCCAGATATCTGCATAAACTCTGCCCCTTCCTATGTAAAACTTTACTTTGAGTAGCTCCCAGGCCATGTACAGGATGAACTTCACTGTTAAAAAAAAAACTCATTTTTCATGCCAATAACCAGTACACTACGCACACAAATTATTTCAGTAAAATGTCAAATGGGAAGTTTGACGCTTAAGTTAATTCCAGAATTTGATGGATCAACCTCCATTTTTGAGTGTGTAGAAATAGTTGAGTCAATGTGTGTGGTCAAGTTAAATGAGGTTTCCTTCAGCTTACTGGTAGAGCCTTTGCCATATATACACATTTGAGTGAAGAGGATAAAGCTGATGTAATCTAGATAAAGGAAACCATGTTCACCACCTTCACAATGGTATACAAGCAGTTTAAAATTAGGTTAAACAGTTGATGTATACCTGGCAGGACTGAATGTTGGCATTTCTCTTTGAAGAGATCTCTGACTGTGGCTTGATATGTGCTTTTGTGGCTGGTTTGCCAGAACATGTAAAGTAATTTTTGCATGCACTCTCCAGAATAGATGTTCTACCCTTAGACCATTTGCTGTCTCAAGTGATGATGAAGGATGATGAGCCTGCAGTAGGACTAGTTGTGGTAGCCGCAAAAGCACTGCAATTGCATCTCTCCTGCATAAGACCTGCAAAACATCATTATTTGCTATAATTGTAGTGATCACAATCATCTGGCAAAAGTTTACTTGAACTGATGAAATGAGCAGAAGGAAAATCTGAGAAAATGCAGATTCACATGCTGTTATTGATGTGGCAGAAGAAATTGTTGAGGAAATGAGTAAGAGGCAGAGAAGTCAACACCAGTCTCCTCTCTCACCCACATGTAAATGCAGTGCTATCCATAGTCAATGTTAGTCAATTGAAAATGGTGCTCAGCTCTTATGGATTCATGCTGCTCCAACACAATCATGAGTGAAGAATGGTGCCAAACAGAGAAATTTATAAATCTCAAAACAATTGGTGGCACATCACAAGCATGTTATGGGGTTGGGATTGCCAGTATTTGTACTGAAGATAGCAACTCGGCTGATGTCAGCATCCTCGTCATGCTTGAGAGACCTGCTACAATGCTATAAAGATATTTAGTGGTATCACCATGCCAACTAAAGTAATGGGGTTTACTGGCAGAGATTCAATCTAAATAGATGAACCTGATTTCTCTGAGGATTAACATGATAAATAAGGACATCTTTGTGCTTTGGTTAGATTTCCTTAATGTTTGGATTGATGTCTGGTTGTTGAATTTCTTTGATCTACTAAACAGATTTCTCAGTTGATTTCCTCATAATAAAATACTTTTAAAATAGTCATGACTCTTACTTAAACAACTGGCTTGAAGTCCAATCTTGATCTGCTAATGAATATCAATCCTTGTTCTTCATGCACTGTGTCTCCTTGGGATATAGGCAATCATGGCTCTCTACAATTTCCTATACTTTGTAGCATTTAATAAATTTTATCTTTTTGTTATTTCTCCCAAATTCTGTTCTGCTATCCATTTATTCGGGTTCATGGAGCATATAATGTGTTGCTTTCCTCTGTCCATCTTCAATCTGTCCTGTGAGTATCAGATTTTCCAAACCCTCCTTTTTCATTATGTGCCCCAGAAATTTCAACTGTCTCTTCCTGATGTTAAGTTTAAGTTTCCTTTTTGTTTCCATTTTCTCCAAAACCTTGTTGTTGCTCACAAGTTCAGTCCATGGTGCCTTCAGCATCCTTCTGTAGAGCTACATTATCCAGTAAAAGTGATAATGGATACCAAGTTTTTTCACTTTTTTGCCTTGGGAGACTAAACTTTCTAGATGCCCCCCCTTTTTTTTAAGAATAATCTGAATTGCATTCCATGAATTTTTTTTTTCTTCTTTTTCTGAAGATTCTTTTCAAATTTATTTTCAGGGTTACTGATCGAGAAATGAAAGGTTTTGGAGATGGTACCACTTCTGTGTGGCGTCGTTACAGTGAATTTGAAATTGTTCGCAATTACCTTGATGCTACCTACCCAGCTGTGGTGGTACCACCTCTCCCAGAAAAGAAGGTTAATTTACAATTTTAAGAAACCTTATCATTTTTATTTAGTTTTTTAAATCATGTTACAAAATAATTTAAAAAAAAAAATATAATCATTTTCAAAATTTAAAAATTATTTAAAAATGTATAATTTTTTTCTTTAACTTTCTTGTGAAACAATGGAATATTTACTTGTAATTGGTCTAATCTGTGGTTAAGTTGTGGCTGTACAGACCCAGTTCTCTTGTTATTATTGCATGTGAAAGTGACATATAATTGCTGCCTTGGACAACATGTTAAAAAAACACGCTTGTTTAGACAAGCAAACTCTTCACAAAACACGGACGAATTTCATTGAAAAACGAAAGATTTTATTCTGTGAATCAGGTAAAAATTCTGAAAAATAAACAAAAAAATGAGTGAGCAAGGGACAAAGGGAAAATCGAGAAAATGCAAGAGAACAAAGAAAGAAAGAAAGAAGTTAACTTATGCAGCCGCAAGTTATTGATGTGGCAGAAGAAATATGACAGCAACAAGTTTCGAAAGGCAGCTAAAGAGCCAGAAAGAGGCAGTTTAAACGACAGAGCAAAGTCAAATATAGAAAGATCCTGATTCTTTCTAAATATCAAAATTCAGGGCCTCGAAAAGCACAAAACTTGTCAATGAGATCCAGAAATATCCTCCCAATAACACATTTCAATACAAAGGCGAATAAAAAAAAAGAAGAAGAATGGAATAAAACATACCAAAGTTATCAAGAAAGGCGGATCAATGTGTGGAACTCAAAGATCCCGCCAAAGAAAAACACACATCTCGACGCTGTCGAGAGTAGATGATAATAATTGAAACTAGTTTATGCTGGTAAAAAAATAAAATAAAGACAGTAACTCAGGGTAAACAAACAAAAACGGTGTATTACTACAGTGAAATTGTCCCCAAGGACAGAAGGTTGAGTGAACCTGAGATTGTGAAAAAGTTCCTGTGAAGGTATTTATAAAATGCATCAGGCAGGGAAAAGGAAGGAGAAAAGAAGATAAGCAGTCCTGTGAAAAATTAAAGCATGGAGAGGGGAGAGCAAAGAGACAAGGAAGGTGGTATACAAGGGAACGAAGAGGAAGAAGGTCCATTTTTAACAGATAGGCTCAGAATCTCTGTTACAGGTCTCAAACAATTTTGGCAGTGTCATTCTTGTAAATTTTTCGCAATCTTGGCTAGGAATGACACGGATAATCAGTCCCCAAGGGCCATTGCCAAAAATACCACACTGCATTTCAGGTTTGGAACGCTGGAAGTCCATTTGCTTCATGCCTGCAAAGAGGGGAGGTACTGGCCCTCCACCGCTCCAAAACGCCTGAGCAAGATGTTGAACGCCTCCATTGTTGCCTGGTCATCCTTTTTTATAGTGAAGTCACCTGCAGGGAGCAACTTTTGGGTGAGGAAAGTGTCAGCAAACTGGGTCCTGGGTCTGTGGATACTGGGACAAAGGTCTACATAATAATGGCAGTCACCTCAGCCAGGAAGGTGGTGAGCACTTCATGGTTACATGTTGCATTAACATGGAATTGAGAATAATTATTCTTTCCCTACTCCCACCCATGTGGTGCATGCTTGAATAACCAGGTACAAACCGTATTCAGAGAGGCAAGTTTACCCAACTTGTGTCTAGGGGTGAATTGATTCCGGAAGTTCGTCGCCGACAAAATTGGTTTTGGTCCCAAATAAGTTTGGGACCCCCGGATAGAAAAGAAGCCGCAAGAGAGCATTTATCAGGCTTGATGTGAAAGTGACCTAAGACCACAGGATTAGTAAGAGGCAAATAAAGAAAGTAATGGCCAAGGCCCACTTTTAAAAGTCATCTAGGTCTCCTTTAAATAACTGGGTTGAAAGTCCAATATTTGATCTAATGAATGATCAATAAAATACTTCATGCTGCACACAATTGAGATTGCTGAAAAATGAAATAGCAGAAGAAAATCTGCTTAGCAATGGCTCGTCTCTGACTGGTTGTGAAGTTCCAGATACTTTGCTGTTATCCGTGAATTTGGTTGAAGAAATTGTTCCACAGTCTATGCACTGTGGGTTCAGAGGATATAATAAACGGTAGTGTCAACACCAGTCTCCATCATATCAATCCCACAGAGGTCTCTTTGGGCCAATTTCATCCAAACCCACCTCACAAGTTTTTGAGGTAGGCTACAGCTGCAATTATCGCTCCGAGAAGACACACAACTGCCTGGAGGATGATGTCTGGTGGTGTAAGCCCTTGTATCTGGAGGTCCAATTTCAAAGTTGTTCCTTCTGAGGGGGTAAGGGGTATCGGATGTGAGTTCCGTAAATGGAAGATGGTAACAGGGGAAATTGTTGATAGTTGACAAGACACCTCTGCTTTGTCCATCTGCAACTCTGAAGGGTGAAGCTAATCAAGTCCCAAGCTACGTTGCATCGGTACACATTGAGGTCAGATCCTTGTCGCTGGCATGAAGCGTCCAGAACCTCCTTTTATTGGAGGCTATTTTATGTAGTCTCAAATTAGAGAACATTTTGGGTTTCCTTCAACATCTACTTTAGTCATCGTCCACATAAAGTCACGGTGGACATACTGGACAACAGCGGGCTAGACTCGGGTGTGTCTCTTTTTTTTGCCACTGCGGTTTTGCCAACTTTCATCCTGTATTGTATTTCATATCAAGGGTCATTTCTAGTAATAAAACATTTGTTCACCTTTTTTTTTCAGGACTCCTTTAAATTGTTGTTTAGATCGGGCCGGTTAATAGGGCATTATCCAGTAAAAGATTTTGATGGTAAATGAATTTTTTCTCTCTTCTTCCTGTTTTTCTGCCCGGGCTTTTTTTCCATGAGAAGAAGTCCTTGCCATCACGTTTCTTCCTGAATTAGCGAGTTTGTTGAGCGACTGATGTCTTGTTGTTTAATTCTGTATATGGTTCAATGGAGGTGCTGCACCTTATAATGATGTCAGGAAGATTCTGTCCTCTATGTTTCGGTTCCTAAAAAGGCAGACCCCCAATCCTTTCGGCAGTATCTTTCCTTGGCTCGGAATTTTGGGACAAGGCTCCAATTGGTGAAGAAGAGTTCATTTTTTTTTTTAATTCCCCACTATCAACTGTCTTTTCTTAAAAGAGGCCTGTGAGGACCGTGATCTGGGCGTTCCAATTCAATCAGGTTAAAAGTCTCCGCTGCTATTCTAGCCAAGTTGTTTGGTGAAAGGTTTTGGAGATGGCACATCACCTTTTTTTAATGTAGGAAGGGGCAGGCTTGTGTTTTCAATTCTGTATCCATAGGCTCTTCTCCCAACCATTTCTATGACTCCAGAATTTGAAAAAAAAATTGTTCATTTCAAAATTTGATGTTAAATGCTCACCATGCACCTTCCAGCTGTTTTTTGGTGGTGCAGTGGGCTGTGTCCACTCCCCGCCATCTGGCTCCAGAAAAGAAGGTTTTCAATATTTTAAGAGAGCAACGCCGAATTTTTTTTTTTTTGCTTCTTTAGATTTTTTCTGAAATCATGTTTTTCTATGGGAGTTAAAAATGAAAAAAATATAATCATTTCCTGTGCTTGGAGTTTAAAAATTATTTAAAATGTTTTTGGGAACCTATTTTTCCAAAACCTTTTTTCCAAGCGATGCCCTTCTCAGGATGGTTAAACCCATGCTCCATTTACCATTTCAGCATCCCTGGTCTAATTTCCAATTTTGAAAAGTCACTGGGTGTACAGCACCTTTTTCAAATGGATCTTTTTTTTTAAATCAGATGATTGTACCGCAATTCCAGCAGGTTTTTTTTTAAAAATCAATCTAATCATTTTCAAAATTTTTTTTGCTTTTTGGAAACTATCTCTTTGAGCCTCTAGAGTTTTTTTTTCAACTCCATTTATTTTCCTTTTCTCTCTCTCCACGAAAACGAGGCCTGCTTTAGCCATCTCCAGTTGTGAAAAAATGAGAAAGAACCTGGATTCTTTTACAGATGGTACTTGGCGTGCTGGGATCTGTTGCATTCAAAAAGATAGCTCTCAGTTTCGCAGAGTCCAGTAGAAAATCGCAAGGATTGTTCGTTATTTTTATGTGACAACATGCTAAAAAACACGCTGCCCAGCCAGAATTCACAAAACTAATTTCATTGGAAAAGCGAAAGATTTTATTCTGTGAATCAGGTAAAAAATCTGAAAGAAAAATAAACAAAAAAAACATAGGTCCAATGCTCGAAAGGACCAAAAGAAGAAAAGAAGAGGACAGTGGAAGGTAAAACAAAAAGGAAACTCTGTTTTTTACAAGACCAGCATGGCTTTGAAATGTATAGAATGCCAGCTTTGACATTAAAGCAAACGACAGAGCAAAAGTTAAAATTAGGGGCCAAAATGTTTCCATTTTTAAATTAAAATATTTTTTTTCAATACAAAGGAAACAATGTTTGTATTGTCATCTGTTCCAAGATGATTCAAAAAAAACTGTCACGTTGCCGAAGAAGTATTTAAGAACTAGTTTATACCAGATGAATAAAAAAATAAAAATAAAGACAATGTAACAAAAAAGAATGCAAATAAAAAGGGTAAACAAACAAAAGCAATTGTACTACAGTTTGTCCCTAGATTAAAAACAATTTGCTGCCTCTTTGTTCTCTTCTTTAAGGTCTGAATTTTTGACAGCAAGCCACTAGCTGCTAGGATCTGTTGCATTGGTTTCTCAGGCTACTGGGTTGATGTCAAATTTACAAACCTCTAACAAAGGGTAGCCATTCTACAGGTTTGACATTACCAGCAAGTTTTCAGCATATTCCTTGCATATCCATCCTAGCTAGAGTATGCATATTTGGAAAAGTAAAATTGATATGTTTGGTATTTCCACCTGTTCCAAGATGTTCATGTTTGAAGTATTGTCTTGCCAGATGATGCCCAGAATCTTGAGACTGTGCAGATGGAAGGTACTGAGTCTGTGTTCTTGACAGAAATACAGAGTACATGCCTCATTGGACAGAGAGCAATGTTTTTTGTTTTTTTAAAATTAGCTATTATTATTGTTGTCATCTAATAGAAGCCAATCTTTAAAAAACTGAAAGAAAAACAATTTAAGAACTTGTGAAAATACTAAGCACAAATATTCATTTTACTTTCAAAACTAATTTTGCTGCACAATATTTTATATCTACCTATTTGATTAAATTAATTAATATTTCTTCAAAAATAAATTGAACTCCTGTCAGAAAATAATATATAAGAGAATAAAAACTGTATAATAATAATTGCATGTTAAAATTGTACTTTTGATTTTTACTAACAAATAAAAACTAAATAAATCTTTGACAATAGTATAGACTTGTTGCTTAGTATTAAATAACTATATTGCTGTTAAATTTACATTCTTTATTGCATAAATGTTCCTTCAGTTGTTGTCTGTGTAAGGAAAACATTGGTTCTTTATTTTTCTTCACAACATTTTTTGTTTTGACACGACAAATATCTTGTCCTGGGTATGATGATAAACTACATCCAGCAGCAAAGCCTCTGATCGTGAGGATTTGAGGAGCATAGAACTACCTTTAAATTGCTGTTGTTCCCAGGTTCACCCTGACCTGGAGTGGTAGTACCTGTTTGGGTTTCGGCTATGGGCAAATAGTTAACCTCTAAACTGGGATCAAAACTCTATGAAAGTATAAAAATACAAGCAATATTTTCATAGTAAAAAAAAAAAAAAAACAGCAATACATTTTTGTAAAAGAAATTACTAATGCTCCCAAGAAAATTAAATTTCAGCATTAAATGACCATTAAGGAATTGATATGCTGCTAAACAAACAAATGTCATAAAACCAAATACATTATGCTAAAGATTGTATGATATAAACAATAAATGGTGGGGAATTCTTCCCAAGAGCAGATTGTTTGAAAATCTAGATGCATTTTTCCCCAAAATTATTAATTATTATTAAACTAAAATTCAGAAAAACTTATATATAAAAATCCCTTTTTTTATTCAGGCAACATACCTCTGGCAGAATGCACCATCTGATAAATTCAATTTGGATTTCATTGAGAGGAGACGAGCAGCTCTTGAGGTAAGCAAATATTTTCTTTATTTCTAAAGAAAATTTTGCATCATTGCATTTATCATTCAGCTTTCTTTTTCTTTTCTTTTTTTTTTTTAAATATTGAATTTTTAAAAGATCTGATATTGAAAAAAAAGAAGTGGCAGTAAAAACATTCTAAAGATTCTTTCTGCAGAGTCACAATCATTGATCAATGCTTTGTTTTTTCTTTTTTTTTTTTTAAATAAAAAAATAAACAATGGATATTATTGTAAATAGTATTGTTCAAAAAGACAGTTATATACAATGAATTTTGGTATCTGTCTATATTACTGAGATGAGGTACTATGTACACTATTTACATTATTTGGACTATTGTCCTCATCTTTGTCACCATGTTTATTACAATGTTTCGGTTGTTGTACACTCTAGCCTTCTTCAGGTGGTTGGAATGTCGAACTAAACCCTTTATTTCGCTCACTGGGGTAGACTGTTCTAGTTCTACGTGCCATGTTTAATGGATGTCAGTTATCAGTTATCTCCTGTTAATTCCCCTCTGAAAGTTCTCCACTGCCTTAACCGGGTATTGAACTCGCACTCCTTGGGTCCTATCACTGGATCTAACTAACGCCTTTATCCACTGTGGATAAGGCCGGAGCATACAACAGCCGAAATGTTGTAATAAATATGGTGACAAAGATGAGGATAATAGTCCAAATAATGTAAATAGTGTGCAATTAATTTTGTCTAAAAGTAGCAATATGATTGAAGATTTTTCCCACACTTTATATTGTAGATCTTTTTGCTTCGCTGTGCCTCCCATCCAACTCTTTGTGCTGATAAAGTATTCATGAGCTTCTTGCGACAGGTTGGTATTTAACTATAAACACTTTTGTATCTAGGTTTATCTCTGAAAATATTCTGGCTTTAGTGTCAAACTAAGGTTTTATGGTTACAAAGCACTAAATTCGTAAAACTATTTTAAAATTACATCTGTCAAAATGAATAAGTGAAGGTTTGAAAAAATAATTGATAAACTTGTATTTCTGTATTCAATAATCAAATACTTAAAAGGTGATAATGTTTGGGATTGGTTACTAATGTAATTTTTTTTCTTTACTTGACAAGAGAGACTTAAACCTGTTGAAATAGACTATGGGTTTTGTTCCATTTATTTTATATATATATATATATATATATATATATATATATATATATATATATATATATATATATATATATATATATATGTGTGTGTGTAAAAGATTTGTCACTTAGCTGATTGATGTTACCTTCAGCATCATGACTCCAGAGTTTTGAGGATGGACCTGTCCATCCACTTATCAGGGTGTATCAGCAATTGACTACTTATACTTCTTGATTTTTCTTTTTTATATTTACTTATCATTGGTGCAAATTTTTTTTTATTGTAGTGTGCATTTGTACAGATGCACCCATCTGTGCCGATGTGTGTACATGTAGGGTGTTGATTATTTGTCCCTTTTCTTTGTTGTTTTTTTTTTTTCTAACTTTACACTCACTCCTTAGCATTTTTCTTTCTTCTATTTTCTTTCAGTTGTAACCCTTTGTTGCTATTTGATTTCTGTTTTTTGTTTTTAATTTTTGAAGTGTGTGTATGTATGTATGTGTGAGAGAGAGCAAAGTTGGATGACAATCTGACAAAGATAAATGGCAATTTGAAAAATTTCTATTTTGACATGTTTCACTGAATTCTTTTTCTGATTTGTCAGTGAAATGTGTCAAAGTAGATGTTTCTTAATTGTCTTCTATATAGATGAATAGCTAGAATTGTGTGTAATATGAATACAATTATATTGTCTAATCAAATGGGGATATAACGATTGTGCTAAAATCTGATAAATCTTGATCTTCCTAAAGATTTATTATCATGCCTGATCCCTATCTTTTCACTTTTATTCTTCATTTTAAATTATTTACTTGCTCTATAATATAAATAATCTTATGTATTTATTCAGATCTTCTAAATAACAATAATTATATTTTATTATTTCTTAATTAGAACAGAGAAAATTACAAAATATGTACATATGTATTTATTAAAATGTAGAAATTTTCATCAAATAATATAGTATGTTATTTTTATTGCTGTCCCAAAAAGTTGTTCATTGCTCTTGGCTCATGTTATTTGATGTTGTTAATCATGTGACTATTTTGACAGGATTCTGGTTGGAAAGAGTTGGCTTATGCAAGTGATTATCAGAACAAGGTAATAAGTTTTTTAGATTTTTTTTTTTTTTTTTCAAATTTAAATTCAACATTTGACCATTGATTTGTTAGAAATTTACATGAAAATCTCTCATGGGTTCATCAATAGGTTTATAGTATAATGATGAAAAAAAAGCATTACTTTTTACACAAGAAATATTTTTCAACATTTTCTACTTCCCTGTCAATGCACTTAATCCAGTGATGAATATTAATCATAAAAATGGAATGGTGAAAGCTTAACTGTAAAATGTCAAATAAAAATTGTCTACATTAGGAATTTTTTTTTCCTATGGTTAATCACCATATTTAGTGGGTTTTTTTTTTTTTTTTTTTTTTTTTTTTTTAACATATTTCTTATGTACGAACCTCATTCATTTGTGCATGGATATATTTTTAAATTTTATTAACTATTAAACTTTTCCAAATTGACCAAAGTATTTTTATGTTGCAGGGTTGGTAATGACTTTTCTTTTAGATTTTTTTTTTTTTTTTTTTTTTTTTTAACAATGCTCATGTAAAAGGAATGAAATGCCAACAACAAAATAATTTTCAACATCCAACTGATTTTCACATATATTTCATCTTCCAAACTTTGTTTGGATATTTCATATTTTATGCACAACTCCAGGTGTCGGCTCTTATCATCGGTAACCAAATATGTACCCCTATCATTGGCTCTAGACAGCGCCTACCAATTAGCTGACTCTTCACTTGTTAGTGTGTGACTCGTTTTGTTGCTGGTATTGTGTTGGTGGCATGGTTCACTCAGCTAACGTTTAGGTGTTCATGACCATTAACTCCTCTGTTGTGTTTTTGATCTCAGAGGGTGAGAAAATCACTGATGAAGCAAATTTGGAGTGAAGATAGTTCAATCATTTGGGAGATACACAAAAATATAAGAATCCTTTGGAATAAAGAATTAAGTCAGGTTAAAAATGTAACAATGATTTTGTTTATATATGATTTGTTGTATACAATGGTTTTAACCCTTCCCACTTTTGTCATAATCAAATGACACTGCGATCCCCTTCAGAGTCTGCAGCTTGTTTTAGTAGCAACTTAAATTTCTAAGTTCTTGTCTTCATGTCCGGCACAAGGTGTTTGGTCAGGAGGTCCAGCGAATGATGTGGATTCCAGTGTGCCTCTTTTTCTCTCCTCTCCTGTCTCTTAACTCAATTCAACTGTATTGAGTCCAAAATCTCCAGCTTATATGAAATCTGACTAGGGTGGGGTTAACTAGGGTGTGGGTGTGGGTTTGGTCGTCTTCTATCCTAAGTATCAATCTTTTCCAAATTTCCATATAGAAAAATGCATTTAAAGTGGTTTTTCAAATTTGGGGTTGTCCAGCCCCCTTTTGAGAGTGGTCAGAGGAATTAAGCCACCCCTTAACTTCTCTTTGCACTTTGCCTCGTACCATCGCTTTTATATAGGTGGTACTAATCTCTCTTTTTCTCTCTTCCCCCTTCTCTTTCTTAACAGCCAAACTCAGCTCTGCTTTCTGGGAATGAAGTGATAAATCTAACTTCCAGATGGTTCAGCATAAGACAAAAGGGATTTTCAGTCATTAGTCCTTATCTATCAGCTTGCCCCATACTGGGATCCCCTCGATTGACCAAACCACTGAAGAATTGGAGAAAGAAAAATCTATTTCCACTCTCCTTAAAATGAAAGTTTATCATTTCTCTTGTTATATAATTGACTAGACCACACAGCCTTCCTGCTTATGGCCATTTCCAAATAGTAATTAATTTTTTCCTTACCACATGCATCCAAAGGAATCTAAATTAATGTCTAGATATAAAATTTTCTCTGGACATATGTCACTGAAATTATCTTCTGGGTAGTTGATTTTGAAACATGTGTTTTTATTTCATCTGACATCTTTGCAGATACCTTAATGGTCTCTTTCTTATCGGTGGGAGGTGGGAGATGGATGGGCAGTCTTGGGTTTACTCAATCTTACGGAATTTCGTTTAGTTAAATCAGGGTTTGATTCTCTTTGGAATTATTTCAAAACATGATTTTTCACCGCATTTCGTTATTAATTTCCTTCTCAATCTTTCAATCCATCTTCCTGCAATTTCAACAATTATTAGTAAACTCTCCTATTCCTTCCTTCCTTCCTTTCTTTCTCTCTTTATTTGATCAACCTCTGGAGATCTTGGTGTCACAATATCAATCATTTATCATGAGGAAATTTATTTAATAAAAATTTTGAATGTTAAAAGTACTATAATTTGAATATAGCAGAATTTTTTTCTAACTATGATGTTCGTACTGTTCAAGGCCCAAGAGCCACTCAAGGTAGATGGTTACAGATTAAGAGGCATGGTTTATGTATATATGTGGGGAAGATAGTGGTTGGCTTGAACAGATTAAGATTGTAGTGATCGGGGAAGCATGTTCTTGGGAGTCAGTTCCACAATGCAGTTGTTTGTGGGAAGGAGCTGCTTGAGTAGAATTTGCATCTCACCAATGGAATACGAAGGGAATGAGGGTGGTTTGCTACAATATGCATGGCATTAGCTATGAAAGTTGGAACTGGTGGAACTAAGGAATGTAGTTCATCTGACCACTTTCTTTGAAAAAAGGGATAAAACAGCAATAGTCTTGCAATATTTCATCTGAGAAAGAGATTGTAGTATGGAAGATAATTTGTCACCCACAAGGATGCGGAGACACTTTTGGGCTCTATTGAGACAGGGCAGTGAAGACTGAGCAGCTCTTGCCCATCTATGGCAGCAGTAATTCATTTTAGTAGAGGATGCCAGGAGGAGTCAGATACTTATTAGAGCGATACAAGGAACCAACCATTCTTCTAGCTTCTTTAGCATATGTACAGAGTTCTGCTTAAGGTTTGGATTTGGTTTACGTCCCAATAGGCACTCAAGGCATGAGACCTCCCTGTGGTAACACCCGGAAATTGCAATCTCTGAAAGTTCTGGGTCTACTCAGTGATGATGGAGCATCACTAGTATGTTTTTCAAGGCATTGATTGTGACCAGTCAGTTTTTCTCTCACTGAGCTGTTAGAGCTAGATCAGAGTGGAGATCAAGCTGCCAAACTCTGGTCATCTAGAATTTTGGAGGTGCACCCATATATCATATTATCAGCATTCAGAAATGATTGGAGTATACTCTTAGGCAGATCACTTATGTAAAGTAGAAAGAGGTTTGGACCAAGAAATTAACCTTGGGGGATGCCTATATTGATCACTTGTGCATTGGGGGACTGGTTGTTGAGAAGTTCTTAGCTCAACTCAAAATCCCTTCCAAACAAAATTTGGTGTTTGGTTAGATTTAGGGAAATTAGCCAGGACAAAAACTTTTCAGCACCCTCTTATAAGTAGATAAATGTTAATAGAAAAAATATTGATAGTATGACTGACTAGAACAAAAATGATACAAAACTGACTCTAAATATGTCAAAAATATGAATTGTACTATTTTATTCTGTTGTATTTAACAAATGACTTTGTTGTTTTTGTTTTTTTTATTTTTATATTAATTGACAAAATTTGAAACATTTGGGTTAAAATAACTTCTAAGACAGTTATTAATTTTTGTTGTCAAGTACATGTCATCTCACTTCATGTTAATATTAACTGAAGCTATTTTAATGAAGCTAAATTAAGAACTGAGTGAATGATGAAACAGTATAATCTTTCTGATAGGATTGAATGTTTAACTCTGAGAAGATAGAATTTTATGGATATCTTCTTAGTGCTGGAAAAAGGATATACTGTGCTACAGAGAAGAAAAGTCATGCAAATTTTAGCAGCACATTTATTCTTAACTATTATAAACAAATAGGAATGTAGTTTGAATCTGACATGCAAAACTGAGAGGAAAAGAATAAAACTGTAATCCAGTATGGATTATAGTGTCATTCTTTATATAAAATATATAAGAATGGATTTTTCATTTATTAATCTGACATAATTTATTGCTTAAATGTTATATTTAAGAGATATCCATATTTGTGTAGATGGTCTGTTTATTTATTAAACAGTATATTTATTTATTTCCATCTATCAGCCTGAATATTCAAGAAATCTTATTAGAAAAAATATGCATTCTGGCATATTTTTCTAATAAGATTTCTTAAATATTTAAGCCAGTAGTTACAATTAAATATACTATTTAATAAATAGACCATCTACTCAAATATGGGTATCCATTAAAAATAATGTTTAAAGCAATAAATTAAGACATGTATAATTGATGGATCAACCTAAAAATATATAGTTCTTCCAACAAATTTTGAGGTTAGACATATTAAAGCCATAAACATTAAAAGTAATATCTACTAGACAGAATAAACATTAACTATAATTAGAAGTATAATCATCAATTTAATTGATGTTAATTATACTTTTTTTAAATAAACGATACATTCAAAACATTGTAAATTAAAATTTGAAATATATCAATTAATGCTAATATAGCAAAATGTTTATTGTATAAGATAGCTATGAGAATCAGATTACTTGATAAGCCTGTATGAATCCAAGAACCTTAAAGAGAAACATTAAAATGTATAAATCTAGAGAAAATCCTAAATATGAAAGATGTTTGGTTGGCTTTAAATAGTATGCATAATTTTGACACACTATTCACTCATTGTGAAAGTATACTAATTTTTTTTTTCTGTCTTATATTAAGTAGCAATGTTTTTAATATTTAGATGGGGTACAAATTTTTATGTAATCCTATATTTTCCTTCCTTTTTAATCACTTTTACAGGCTGAATCGAGACTGAAGAGTTTAAGTGCAGCATTTAGACTCAAGAAACCTGACAGGTAAATATTTAACTTTTTATGTCAGTCTCATTTTAAGCACTTGTTTAAATTACCTTTTCAAGTGATTGAGCTTTGAATCAACTTTGTAATTTTCACAAAACTTGAAATCAAATTCTTTCTTTTAAAAAAATAATTTTCATTGACACTCTTTGTAATTTGTTGAATTTTAACAACTAATGAAAAAGATATCTTTAAAATACAAATAAAATAAGATTTCAACTAAAATGTTGCTGACAATGGAATAGCTAGTTCATCATTCCCAAAATTAACTTATAGTAAATTAATATACTAAATAATGACTTGTCTATGAGATATTGAGAGAGAATTTAGAATGTTCATTTCTTAATCTATCTAATCAGTGATATTGAGGAAAATCAAATATCAACCTCAAATGTATATTTCATATTGAGGGATATAGTAAAAATATTTGGTATGATTATGCAGCTTACAAGCCCAACAATCTGAGTAAAAGGTATTTATCTTCTACAGATACATCCTTTAGAAATGCTCAAAGTAGCATATATTTTGTTTTTTTTTTTTTCTTTTTTCAATATTTTCACAATCAAAAAATGATCCAAGAAAATCAAAACTCATTTCTAACAATGAAGACATCAATACATTTGTTAAAATAATGAAATTAAGAGGAATATTCTTGTATTATTTTGAACTATTGTTCTCATCTTGGTTGATATAGATGTGATTATAGACACAATGTTTCAACTAAGTACCCTCTGGTCATCATGAGGTGTCCATTGATTGACTGAGATGAGATATCTGTTGGTTATTGTAATATCAGTTATTGTTCATTCTTAGAAGGATTAAGTTCATGATGACCACTAGATGATGGTATCATATGTATGATCAACTCCTATATCCGCTACATCACTGTTTTTGAGCCTTTTCTTATATATAATGTCAGCCAAGATAAGAACAATATTTCAAAATAATACCAAAATATTTTCAGAAATGAAATACTAAATCATTTAAGAGGAAGTTATAAACAACTATAAATAAATGAAAACCTGAAATGGTACAATAAAAATAAAGTTGTGCATACAAATTTATTTATCTGCAGGAATTTTAAATTTGCGTGAAAAAGATTAGCAAATTTAGTTTAAAAAATGTGATAAGATTTGACTTCACAATTGTATAAGCAGTTTTGGAAGTGCTAGAGAAATCTATAATTGTCTATGAAATATTTGAATCAATAAATAAAAAATGTTCTATTGTTTGAACCCTCAATCACAATCTTTCAGTGGATTTAATATGATGTTCAGTAGCAATTCCATTACTGATATTTTAAAAACCAAAAATCTTTCTTTTCTGTCTGTTTTATTTAAAAAAATATTGTAGTATTAAAACTGGATTTGGTATTGATTAACTTGCTTCTTTTTTTCCTTATTTATTTCTTGCAATTTCAAAATGTGTATTTGAAGCAGCAACAGAACTAATATATTTCTAATTGAATATCCAACATGTAAAATGATGTAACAAAATTTACTTTATTTTTTACATGAATATGAATATTGTATCATTTGTGTTATCTTAAAATTCCAGAAATGATTAAAAAGAAAAGCTTTTCAGATAATATTTGTTCAGTTGATGGTCGTAAATTAACAATTCTGTTTACTTGAAAATCTCTTTTAAATGTTAAAGCAATAAAAATGTAATGACAACTCTCTCATTATTTATAGTGTTTTCAATCAGATTGATTTGAAAGCACTTGCCTCAAAATAATATGAACAGAATTAAATAGCGGCTCTGAATGTGCAGCTTCTTTCCTTTTTTCTTTCCTTTTCTCTCTCTCTCTCTTTTCTTTTTTTCTCTCTCTTTTCCTTTTTTCTCTCTCTTTTCCTTTTTTCTCTCTCTCTTTTCTTTTCTCTCTTTTTCTCTTTTTCTCTCTCTCTTTTCTTTTTTCTCTCTCTCTTTTCTTTTTTCTCTCTCTCTTTTCTTTTTTCTCTCTCTCTTTTCTTTTTTCTCTCTCTCTTTTCTTTTTTCTCTCTCTCTTTTCTTTTTTCTCTCTCTCTTTTCTTTTTTCTCTCTCTCTTTTCCTTTTTTCTCTCTCTCTTTTCCTTTTTTCTCTCTCTCTTTTCCTTTTTTCTCTCTCTCTTTTCCTTTTTTCTCTCTCTCTTTTCCTTTTTTCTCTCTCTCTTTTCCTTTTTTCTCTCTCTCTTTTCCTTTTTTCTCTCTCTTTTCCTTTTCTCTCTCTCTTTTCCTTTTTTCTCTCTCTTTTCCTTTTTCTCTCTCTTTTCCTTTTTCTCTCTCTTTCCTTTTTTCTCTCTCTTTTCCTTTTTTTCTCTCTCTTTCCTTTTTTCTCTCTCTTTCCTTTTTTCTCTCTCTCTTTTCCTTTTTTCTCTCTCTCTTTTCCTTTTTTCTCTCTCTCTTTTTCCTTTTTCTCTCTCTTTTTCCTTTTTCTCTCTCTCTTTTCCTTTTCTCTCTCTCTTTTCCTTTTTCTCTCTCTTTTTTCCTTTTTCTCTCTCTCTTTTCCTTTTTTCTCTCTCTCTTTTCCTTTTCTCTCTCTCTTTTCCTTTTTCTCTCTCTTTTTCCTTTTCTCTCTCTCTTTTTCCTTTTCTCTCTCTCTTTTCCTTTTTCTCTCTCTTTTCCTTTTTCTCTCTCTTTTTCCTTTTCTCTCTCTCTTCCTTTTTTTCTCTCTCTTTTCCTTTTTTCTCTCTCTCTTTTCCTTTTTCTCTTTTTTCTTTTTCTCTTTCCTTTTTTTCTCTTTTCCTTTTTTTTTCTCTTTTCCTTTTTCTCTCTCTCCTTTTTCTCTCTCTCTCTCTTTTCTCTCTCTTTCTCTCTTCTCTCTCTCTCTCTTTTCTCTCTCTCTCTTTCTCTCTCTCTCTTTTCTCTCTCTCTCTCTTTTTTCTCTCTCTCTTTTCTCTCTCTCTCTTTTCTCTCTCTCTCTTTTCTCTCTCTCTCTTTTCTCTCTCTCTCTTTTCCTTTTCTCTCTCTTTTCCTTTTCTCTCTCTTTTCCTTTTCTCTCTCTCTCTCTCTTTTCTCTCTTCTTTTCTCTCTCTCTTTTCTCTCTCTCTCTTCTCTCTCTCTCTCTCTTTTTTCTCTCTCTCTTCTCTCTCTCTTCCTTTTTTTCTCAATTTATTTTTCTTCCTTTCTGATGATTTAATAAATGTTATTGAATTTCTCAAATGCTTTTATTTTAGTACTATGGCATCAGTAGTAAATGAAATGATACCTAAATACATATATATTGTTCTATGTAATGCACTAGTTTCAACTTGAAAAATGTGAATTTGGATGTTAAATGATTTATTTTCATTGTTGCTCATAGTATGTCAAGTATCTGCTCAATCTTCAGTGGTCACTTTTTATTTTAAAATTTCTCTTATTTAATTTACTTATTCAATCCTATTAAAACTAACCTCTTCATTTTTTTTATTTTGTTGCTGAAAATTACAAAACATGACTTTTAGACAAGACAATTATTTAAAATATAATTTTTTATGTCCCTTCAGGATGCAGGCAATAATGGCTTTCCACAAGTTCCTTTCCTTTATTATCTGTGAATTGATATGACTTCTGGAGAAAGAATGTAGAGTGGTTTCTCATTGCCTTTTACAGTTTTGAATTCAGTTTTCCTTCTAGACAGGCTGAAACAATACTAGAGATCCCAGTCTACCCTACTATTTAACCCATAGTTGGAGAGAAGAAATAAATTCATGTCTGCAGACTAGAAGAGAACTTTAACTTAGCTCACCAATGTCACTGTGCAAGTCAATAATAATTACACTCTTTGCACACCCACTAGATACTCTGTCAAAAGTAAAATTTTCTAATTTACAATGCTTTGATTAGCAATTTATATTTTCTTCATGTTTACAATACAGCTCATGATCAAAAAGAAAATTTAAATCTCTACTTTAGGAAAACAAAATGTCTGTACAAAATAAATCTTTCCTTTTGTTGACAAACTGACTTGAAGCAATGTCGTTTTTAAAATCATCTTTTCATAAATTTATAGTTTGAATAATTTCTGTTTTAATAAAATGATATTTATTGTTTTTATACAGTTAAATCATGCCGAATGGTCTTGTAATTTTTTTTTTTTTGTAATCTGTTTTTCTGTCTGTGTTTTATGAACTCTAAAAGGAAATTCTTTTTCACTAAGTTATTGGATCATTCAGTTATTTTTTCATTTTGTCACAAGACAATTTTATTGTACATTGCATCCATCTGTAAATTTTCTTTACTTTGTGATTTACTATTTTATTTCAAATTCAAGTTTGATTTTTCTTTTTCCAGACAGTTTGAAGAATTAAAGAATTACAGCAATGAGTTACAGTCAATTATATCAACAATTCTAAAAATAAGAGCAGTAAGTCAAATCTATCTTGGACATTCAATCCTAGTTTATTTATAATAAGATGTTATTTTCTAGGGGAGTATTTTCATTCTAAAATATTTTCAATCTCTTTATTTTAATCATCTTGGCATTTAAGAGCTAATCTTATAATAATTTCTGTTTTCAATATAATTGCTTGCATATTCTTTTACAAATAATTTTAATTATTGCAGATATAGTTTCAGTTACCAAAAAATATCAGTACTTATGTTACACCTTCTCTTTATTGTAATCTAACATTTAATATTAGAACATATACTAATGAAAGATATTTATGCAAAAGCAGACAAATATTTTTGTAAGTATTGAGGTTTTGAATAGCCGTCTTATTGATTTTGTATTTTTCCTGTGTCTCAGAAATTGGCTGATCGGCTTTATGGCATTCACAAAATCCATGCCAACTATGCCAGAGTCTATGCTGAATGGAGTGCCTTGGAGAAAGAAATGGCTGAAGGTCTTAAAGGCTCTGGACATTACATGGATGTGTAAGCATCTATTAATTTTAAAGTTTTACATACAATTATTATAATGAATATAAACTATAATTAAACTATTACAAATAATATATGGGTATGATACTGATCTTCAAAAGTCTGTTATCAAAAAGTCATGCTGACCTACAGATCATTCATAATTCTACAGGATTAGAGTTGAAGAATTATTATAGACTAATTTACACAAGTGAAACAACTAAGAATTTAAATAAAAGAAGAATATATGAATACAAAAGGGATCTTTTATGAAACCACACAATCTGTACATGAGATGTTCATCATGGGTCTGATCATAATTTTGACTTAAAGAATGCAATTTTAATCAAGAGTGATAGTAATTATTACAGTGAAAACATATTGAAAGTACACTAATTTCAGTCTTCCACAGTAAATTTACATTCATGATCATACAACACATCTCTTAACAAAACCATTGCTATTACAATGTGGAATGTTTAAAAAGAGTAGTGATTATAAACAAAAGGTGTAGAAAGTTAGGTTACCTATCTAGATACATTGGATGCCAAAAATTAAATTTAAATTTAACCATCTTTATATCGTCTTCATTTTTTCAATGTAGAACTATAACCAGTGTTTGTTGCATTTTGTTCCCTCCTCTCTCTCTCTATCTATCTATCTATATATATATATATATATATATTCTAATGAAATCTGGTAGTGTATTAGCATTCAGCAAAGAAAGAAAATATTGTTCTGATTGTTAATGTTTACTTGATTCTGACATCATTCTTCTTGCTTCTGACATATTAGGGCTACTGAGACTTCATCTAGGGACACTAGCATATTTAATCTTTCATTTTGTTTGATTGTAATAGTTTTGTTTTTTGCTTCATTAATTTTCTTATGAAGTCTGATTTCTTTTGTTTCAAGAGTTAAAGTTGTTATTATTTGCTTCTTTGCAGCTTTGCTAATTCTGTTGATTCTATCTTAGAAGAAGAGGAGCAATATGCTGATCAACTAAAGGAATATTTGGCCTTTGCTGATTCTTTAAGGTGATTACTTCTAAAAATAACATTTTTTAAAGAAACACTTTGTATATTTTTTATTAAAATAAAAGCAAAGTGCACATAACAAACAAACAATTGTATATGTAAAGAAAAAATTCACAAAGTTTGCACTTTTAAAAATTATCTCTAAATATTTGTATTATAGGACAGAATCATTTAAAAGTTAAAAAGCATTATGAAAGGATTTGATTGTTAATTGGGTAATGTTTGTATAAACCTGATGATGCAGGATTTGCACAAATTTTTTTTACCTCATTTCATAATAGCTTATTCAAATCTACGATTTCCAAAGGTATGTATCTCTATAAGGAAGCAAAATGAAAATTTAATAATGCAAAACTTTAATGTTTATTCTTTATGAGAAATACAGAAATTAGGTTTTATTTAAAGCAAATAATTATGTATTACCAATTCAGTTTGAAAATATATCAGTTATTTACAACTTGTATTTTTATATTAGAATTATGCTGATGTTTAAAAAAAATGCACTTGATATTAGTTCAAGTAAATAATGAGCTCTTTTTTAGTATCTTAAATATATGGAAAGAAATTGAAATCTATAAAAATAAGATTTTAGTAAGGTGAAAACAATTTTTTTTTCCTAAGTGAAAATGTCTTAAGATTTGTAATTGACTCCCTCAGGTCTATCTGCCGGAAGTATGAATGCATTCAGTATGATCTTGAACGAACTGAAGATTGCCTATCTTATAAAGGAACCCAAAAAGATATGTTGGTGAGCCATTCTTATTTCAATTTTCTTCTCTTTTATTCTTTCTTCATATTGTTTATCCAATAACATTTTCAATTGAATGCAGAATTGTTTGGTTTATTTTTTGTAAATTGAGGAAACTGTATCATTGCTGTTTCAAATAACAACAATAATTCTTGACAAAATCCAGTAATACAAATATTAATTGATTTTTTTTTTTTTTTTTTCCCCACTTAATTAAATGTTGTGCGAATTTGAATTGTAAGTAACATCTTAACCAACTAAATATGCATGTTTATTTTTCTCCCAGAGTCAAGGGAAGCAGCAAGGTGGATTTACTTTATCAAATGTAAAAACTAAACTTTTTGGAGGTGACACACCTGAACAAAAAGATCAAAAGATTAAAATGCTTGAAGAACAAATTCAAGAATCTGAAGTTGAATTGAAGGTTGTTACCGCTGATACACAGTAAGTTGTTTTCTAGCAGTATTTGAATCCATACACTGGTCTTCTTAACACATTTTACTTGAGCAAAACGTTTTGTTTTTAACAAGTTATAGATATAATCAATAAACACTTATGGTGTTAAAATTTTTCTAAAAATTCCTCATTTCAAAGATTTCTAGTAGCAAATACATAAGCAATATGGAAAGTTTAGATAATGTATGATTTGAGATAAGAATTAAATAATGAGATTATTTGTTGAAAAAGATTAAATTTTTGCAGAAATTTACAGAAAGTTAATTACAAATATTCAAACTTAATATTTATTTATACTAACAATATTTTAAGCCTTGATTAGGTTTATTGTCAACAATAATACAACAAAATCAATAACTTTGCAAAGACCAACAATATTTTTATATTTTAAAGTCACTTTTTTTATTTTTTGTTTTGATGAGAAAAATGCGTTTCTTTCACTGAAGTTCATATACAATGTTGAATGAAAAAATTATAACCACCTTTCTAATAAGGTTTTAGTCTGCTGTGTGCTGACAAAACAACTCTTACCTGTTTAGGCATGGACTCTACAAGACCTATAAATACTTTTTCTGATAATTGGTGTGAAGATGTTAACAGCAGGTCTTTTAATTGCTACAACTTACATTGTGGTTCTGCCAAAGAACTTGTTGGTCCAATGCATTCCGTGGATGTGTTAGTGGTGTAATGGTTAGTGTCTTGGAATGAGAAATCAGAGAATCGAGTTCAAGTTCCAGTCAAATTCATTTCATTCACTTATGCACAAATATCCTTGGGAAAGGTATGAATTCATCTCCTTCCCCAGTTATGGGTTAAATAGTAGAACTGTATCTGCAAAGATCGTTATTCTCAATTTATTAATGCAATACTATGCTCCAATATTGAGGTACGTGCTATATTGTAAAGTATATTGCAAAGTACCTCTCACATGAATAATAATAAGATCCAATGCTTCCCCACAGAATGTTGCCCAAACCATCACACTGTCTCCAACATTTTCATTTCTCATAATTCATCTTGATGCTGTTGCTGTTCCAGAATAACCATGCACAGAAATATTCTACCATCCAATTTATTCAAAAGAAAACAAGACTTGTCAGATCAGGGGACCTTTTCACCATTTAATACAAAATTCACTTCTAACACACTTATTAATGATGACATTGGTGATGGACATTGGTTAGTGTGGGTAATCTGACTGGCCCACAGCTATATAACCCCATACACAACAAGGATCAGTGTCTTGTGTTTGTAACATCCTTCCTTCCTTCAAGTTATCTGTAATTTGTACTTCTGTTTGCTCATAATTGACAGGAAAGCCTCCATTCACTTCTGATATCGAATTTTACCAGCCCAATAATTTTTCACTCTCTGATTATGGTGCCAGTATGCAAAACCACTGGTTGCCATTATGTGGCTTCTAATGGAGGATGGAAGATGATTTATGAAACTTGGTTCTTTTTGGAATAAAAGTAAAGGCAGAAGATTCTTAGCTTGCTAAAATTACTTTAAAAGCATTCTAGCTTTCTATTCATTAGAACTCTGCATTATTTCTTCAACCCCTTAAATTACTTTGTATTTTCTCTTGCTTAAATTGCAAGTCTTTTTTCCCTTATGAAAAGATGAACTATAGATAATTTCTTGTCAATTATCATTATAGGAAATTTATTTCTATTTACTTCCATTTCCCACCATATTTTATCTACATGAGTTCATGTAAAGCATAAATGAATCACTATAGAAAAGATGGTTATTTTTGATTGCTGAATAAATTAGATATTTTGTTATATTTTCATAAATTTAATGCAAAAAACAAAACTATTTGCAATAATTCATAAATATGAAGTGCTTTTACTGTTTGCAATATTAATATTTTTAATTTCTTTTTGAAGGATTTTCATGGAACAAGCATTGAAGGATATTGATCGATTTAAAAGACAAAAAGCAAAAGATTTAAAAGAAATCTTCACCAATTATGCAATTATGCAAATTAAGCAATCAAAGAAGGTATGCTATTTAAACCAGTAACTAACAAATACTTCATGATTAAGTTTTCAATAAATTCTTTTCAGGATTTGCAACTGTTTCTCTATTGTTGAAATCTATTTTCATAGGCACAGTGTTTGTTTGATTCATTCCTAAATGAGAAATGAAAGATTTATTGAGAAGTTCAGTCAGTAGTGACCTATAAAAATTAGTAATCGTAAGTAAAACTGTGTTATATGAATTAAATAGTTATGTTTTATAAACTAACTTAAATTGCAAGATTATATATTGATGCTGGCAAGTGTTGTCAATAATCCAAGTTAGATTGTATACATTAGTTTGTACTGTTTGTATGGTTGATAAGAGCATAAGACATTATGGTAATTTATTATGGCTATGATGAGTTATTTTTGAGGAAAGAAATACCAAACCTACAGCTTAAAGATCAAAATTGTTATTTTCATAGATGAGTACATTTCACATTATATACAGCTTTGTAATAAAAGACATTCTATTATTGTAGGGGTTGAAACAATTTATTTTGAAGAGTCAACTTAAATCAAAAAATTTAAGTTTTTTTAATATAACCACTTCGCTTGAGTTTATTCATTTTAGAAAAGAAACACAAGTGAATAGTTATAAAAGGTGTTTCTTTAAGACTGATCAGTCAGCAGTAAATAAATCAGTGTTATTGGTGAAAATTTACTTATTTCTCTATTTGATCATGTTTATTTAAGTAATGGCAATTATGTGTGAAAAATAATGTCACCCAAATGTCTGCCAAATCTAAAAGAAAAAATCATTAGACGCTTAAACATAATTCACATTTAAAATCGGTCCAAGTTATTGGCACACTGTTTATTACATAAAACTGTTAATTAGGCTTTGAAGAAATTGAAATTATATCTTTATCACTGTGACTCTTTCCTTGAAAACAAACATCTTTTTCTTCTGATAGTTTATCCAATACCAGTCCCAAGTCAAAGTAGAGGGTTACTGAGTGAGATTGTAAAGAAATGGAAGGGAAAAGTATTATGAGGATGAATAGGATAGATATCAGTTGACCTTGGACAAGCAACCAAGATCGTAGTTGTCAGGGAAGCATTCTCTTGGGAGTTTGTTTCCTAATGTAACAATTTTTGGGAAGAAGCTGTCCAAGCGGAACTTTCTTTTTATCAAGGGAACGGGGACAGTTTGCCAACATGTCATGGTGAGTCCATAGTAATAGCGATATATTAGTGAAAGGCTGGTGACATTTTGTCTGTGGGATAAATGTTGCAAGGTGGAGAATAATTCATCACACACATGGCTGCGTAAGTGCTTTTGAACTCTGTTGAGATATTGCAGCAATACTCTATTCTTAGTCTGACCTGACACTTATGAAGATGGAACATGGCATTAGGAATTAGACATTTTCTAGAGCGATACAATGAACTGATCATTCTTCCAGCATTGAATATACACGTTCCATTTGAGGTCAGATGTGGGCTTTAGCCCCAGTAGAAGTTTATTATTACTAATCTTTCTTGCTCATTATATCCACCTTAAATACCTTTCTTTGTAGCAATAGTTAGCAAGTTCTTCTATGTAGTGAGGTCTATTCTAACTCGGTGCTCTTAACTTGTGACCTTGTGTCAGACCATGTTAAATTTATTAAATATCTATATAAAATTTCACTTGCTCAAATGATACAGAAATTTATATAATGTTTGCACGTGCCAAATGTAAGTGCACTAAGGTTTATTAATTGCTTGTCAAATACTCCTGAAACTTTGTTTATAATCCAGATCTTGAAAAAACGATTAGTTGACTGATTAAAAAAAAGGTTATTATTTCAAACTGGATGTTGGAGTGCAGAATGTATTACAGTAGCAACAAATTTGATGTTGACAGCTTTAATCACAATTCTGATTACTGTGCTATGATGGCTAAATTGAATAAAAGCAATAATCTTGTTAAAATTTTAGTGCATTCATTTAAATTTGCTTTCTTTCAATTCAAACCAATTATTTTTTTAAGCTAATTTGAATTTAGAAAAACTAAAAATACAATATTAATCTAGACATTCATTACAATTTTTGCAAGAGAGAAAAATTCTTTTCTAAAAAAAAAAAAAAAAAAATTATTTTGCTTTGTAACTTTTGACTCATATTTTTATATTAGGAGTTACCTAACAATTTTTTAATTTCTTTTTAAGGGCATTGCCATTTGGACCAGTGCTAAGGACTGCTTTGGCAAGATGTAAAGAAGCAACTTAAAATTAGTCACAATGGAACAACCCCTTTTTTCCTGAATATTTAATCATTATTGACCTGTTCTTATTAGGGCAATACTTTAAAAAAAAATGAAGATCTCATTTTTTCTTTGATTATAAAAAGAATGAAAATGTAATTTATTTTGATTTATTTTATTTTGATTTATTTTATTTTTTCACTGTTTGACTAAACTAAGTACAATTCCAAGAAGTCTTAGTTTAGTTTTGTTCTTTTAAACAATTTTTTTTCGTAAGGTTGATAAATCTACTTGGGAAATATTTTGAATATTTGACAAGCAAGATCTTTAGAAATTTAAATATGTTTCTCTTGAAACGTTGCAAATTTATACAATAGAATCATTTCAATTTCTCTAACCTTCTTTTATGAATGAGTAAACATATGCTAGTCACTCCCTTCTATCATTCCAGATATAAATGGGAGAAAAATTGTATGATTAATGATGAAACAAAATGTGATTCTTGAATTTGGATTACAAATTTTTAATAAGGTTCTTTGAGTTGATTTCTTGGTTATTTTTGCATCTAAATTTTAAAATTCAATTTTCCATTATGAAGTTCATTTGTAATGAAAATAATATTTTAAATGTCAGTGTGTAAGAATATTGTGATTGTTACTCCAAACAAATTTGCCACTGCATCTGGAATTTGGTTTTTGGTGGAAAAATGACATTTGTGTGATGATGTAACAGATAAATTCATTAAATTTACAAAATACAATTTATTTGGCTGCAAGTATAAAATGTACATTCAAGTTATTAAACTAAAGCTAATTCTATTTTAAACTCTGCTGATATTCCTCATTTTCAGCATTTTTTTTTATTAATGCACAATTTATTTTTACTTGTCAAATAAGTTTTTTTCTTTTTTACCTGCTTGGCTTCAATTTCATCAGTTTCTTTCTCTTATTCTATTTATCAAGGTAATGGCAGAAAAGGTTAAATATTCTGTAATAATTAGACAATGATTGAAATTGAACTAAGTACATTTTTAGTAGTAGTAATAGTAGTAGTAGTAGTAGTAAAAATTGTCAAGTCCAAGTTGAAGTGTTTTTTGGGTTTTTTTTCTGCAGTGAAATTAGTTTTATTGCTACAGTGTTCTTAAGAGAATATATAATCAATGTTAGAACATTTCTGGAAATGATGATGAATTTATTTAATGAAAGTTAACTTATAGATAAAAATCATTTTAATTTGGGAATTTTAAAAATTGTTTTGTTTTGATGTAAATTTCACAAGAAATAAATATATTGTGTAAACATTTAATGATTTGTCTTTTATTGCTCAACTGTATTTCTAATATAAAAAATGCCTTATGAATAGAGATTTCATTGTCAAATCTAATTTCAATTTTAAATTTATTGAAATACAAGAACTTGTTCTTAAACTGAAAATGTATATGGTGATTCAGCGAAAATATTAATATTTCTATGTAACAAACATAATATTTACATATATTGTAAATATGCTTTTCCAGATCTTATTAAAAACATGCAAAGCACATGCTCTGCTAAAAGTTTCATGGTAATAAACTAATATTCTGAGTGAGCATTGGCTTATTATTGTCAAACATTTTGTAATGAGTGTACTTTGTTTATTTTTAATAAGATCCCCAAAAAAATATTTACACTGTGATCCAATTGAATGGTATTGAGCACTAATTAAAAAAAAAAAAAAATATGAGAATACAATGACAAGGAATACTTATTCAGTAGAAAGTACAACACTAAAGCTAGCTATATATGCGTGTATACATTTTATATAATCTCAAACATAATTGCTGATAATGTTATCAATTTCTATCAAAATCATTCAGTCTGAAACATTTCATTTGAAATGAATTAAATAAAAAATTTTATATTAATTTCTTACAATAATGTCTGTAACAATAAATGTAGATTGTTCCAGTTTTTTTAGGCTTTTTTTCAAATTCTATTAACCATTGTTATCTAAAAGACACTGTCTCAGTGTTTACAATAAGTTATATATATATACATATATGGTTATCCACAGACCATTTATTTCGCTATATCACATCTCAGTGTGACTAGATGTCTGATTGCTTCAAGCCAGGATTGAAACCCGTCTGTTTTGACATCAGTCAGATCTCTTACCTCTAGGCCATTGTCACATGGCAGGGAAGGTAATTTTAATGTCTTTCTCTATACAAAATATGCCAGCAGTTCATAGAACTCAATTCAATTTTACTTGAAGAGTAATGCTTGATAGCTGTAGGAGCCACTGTTTTTTTAAAAACCTTGTGTGTGTGTGTGTGTATATATATATATATATATATATATATATATATATATATATATATATATATATATATATATATATATATATTTATTTTTCTACATTTTTCAATCATTTCAAAAAAACTTCACAGGACTACGTAAAATTACTCAGCGTGGTTCTGACAAATAAAAAATTGGAAAAAACACAATTGTTTTTGCACAAAATCAATTTAAAGCATGGGTAATGGCATCTTTTTCGCCGGAAGTTACTCAAATGTCTGAATGCCGTTAACTTCCGGTGACTCAGCATTTTTTTTTTTTTTTTTTTTCAGAGAACAATACACAAAAAGTAAAACAAATGAAACATAAACATACACAAGTCCTCCTAACTAAAAATAATAACTGGAAACTACTTTAAATACACATGGTGTCCAAATGAAACCCATGTGTACAGTCAAAATGCAGAAGTTAATTTTTAGTCATCAACCAAAAGATATTGCCAAATGGCTACGTTGCTACTGCAGCCGACATAAATACAGCCGATTTCTTGGCTCCGAGATAGAGCAACGTGCTCCCCCTCTCACCTTCACCTGGCCGACCCTCGTGGAAAATAAACTTCCACATCTCAAATGTTAATAAAAGCAAAGCATGTCAGATTTATAAAGATTTCCTATTTGTCCCTTATCCTATCATTCTCTTGCATTCCTATCTATATTTGATCTTTATATATATATATATATATATATATATATATATACAGATGCAAACTATGCCTGGAAGAAAAAATTAAAATAATTAGTACAAAAATACAAGCCAGTTATTGAACAAGAGAAATGAAATTATACTTAAATGTCATCATAAAAATAAGTTTATATAGTCTTAAAAATAGACATTTATTTTGCATCAAACACTGAAAAATATATATTAGGTTTGTAACTATGTAAGTTTATACATATGTATGTATATATGTATGTGTGTATTGTATATGTGTGTATCTATTACTTTTATTACTATTATTATTACTTTATATAATATATATATATTTATTACTATTAAATGATGATGGTGTTTAAATGAATAACAACATAGATTGTATTTCTGTGATTTTTATTACTGGTTGGCAAGAAGTTAAAGTTTTATCCATAAAATTTTCCCCACCTTCCCTTACTGCAATATTCTCAAAAAAAATCTGAAGTAGGATCTTTAATGTAATTGGTACTGAATTAGCTTCTTGACTTCAGCTAATTTCTCACAGACGTGATGTGGCTTCCTCTGTCTTTTCTACAAATATTTTCATGGCTACTGCACTGATGAGCATTTTTTTCCCTGGTGCCCTGACTACATGAATTTAAAGTGTACAACTAGATTGGCATCTAGGTCCCAACTTTTTAATGTTGAAATAGTTAAATGTAACTGCCCTTCTAACAGTTTCTTTTCCTCGCACTTCTCCATATTGAACTCCATTCATCTCACTTGCTTCCCTGATAACTACAATCATCAAAAATCTAAATGCAACATCAGTCACCATGTTTTGTTGCATTGATACCTGTTTCTTTTTCTCCTTTCTTCAATTCCCCACACCCACTCTTTTCTCTCATTTTCACTCTCCATAACCCCCTGTGTGATAATAGCACTTGACTTGCTTGGGGTGAAAATGCTTAAAAAAAAAAAAAAAACATTGAATATAAAATAATTAGGGTACTGAAAATAGCATCTACCACAATCAAAGGTAAAGCTCTCCCTACCAACAGCTAAAATAATAAAAAAAGTGCTCAATACAATATATATATATATATATATATATATATATATTAAAAAAAGAGGGTGCATAAACGTTTTTGGTTGTAATGTGGATTTATTGAGAAAAAATATTATACTTTGTTTTGCTATAATTTCACGACACGTGTTTCTGGTCTGGTCTCGCAACTTTTCTCTCGTTGGAACCACTACAACATATTTCTTTTTTATATATATATATATATATATATATATATAAGGCAGGATGTGTGTGTGTGTGATGAATGCAAGGCCACTATTTTCGACGGATTTCTACCAAAATTTACATGCACATGCTTTAAGTTAGCGGGAAGGCCAAGACTGACTTTGCATTTCCCAACTCCCATCGATAGTGGAAATAATCGATTTTTTTTCATGCTTCTCGGCAGTTTTCATGTAGTTTAAGGCCATTTTCTACTGGCCAGAGTGAGAGTTTATAGCTGGCTGCCACGAATAGGCAGGAAGATTCTATTGGCCAGCATGAGAGCCAGCTGCTGACTGACATGAATGTTAACTAGCATGCAAAAAAAAATCGATAGCTGCATTCGTCACAAGTGGGAAAAATTTAAATCTGCATGGCACTTTACTCCAATTGGCTCATTCGCTTGCTTAAACTCAACGTTGGTTATGATTCCTCAGAACAGGGTTGGGTGTGAAAAAGTATTTGTTGTTAACATTCTTTTTTCATTCGGTTCTTCCAGTTACGAGTCCTTTTTTTAAAGCTGATTGTTTTGTGTTCATTTTGTTTAGTTCTTTTTTTGTAACAGATTTAATGTTTAGTATAGAGCTTAGAAAAAATTTGCAGTGTGAGATAGGCAAGAAGTAAGGCATGTAGCAACATCAGCACGGCAAAGGGCACTCCTTTAAAGGCAAGGAAGGGCAAAAATATTTTAAGTCAAGTGATAGCGATTGCCGTATGAGTTGTACAATTTTTTAATCAAGCACGGGCAACACCGGGCCA